AAAAAAAAAAAGTTTGCTAGCTAAAAAGACAAGTTTCAGTTAGAATTTAATTACACTATTTTACTAAGCTTTCCTGCTATTGCCAAGCATTAAGATTTGTGAAGTCAGAAGAATGGATTCTTTAGTATCAACTTGAAAACAATGCTTAGTCTAAACTTAGAAGGAAGAACAAGAAAAAAGAAAAAAACTTTGTAGTAATTGAATTCCCAAAAGAAAATATAACATTTTTAAAATTTAACATCCAGTTGGGATTTATAATCTTAATATAAGCAAAATCTGTTCAAGCTTAACAATAAGTTTTGTTAGCATTTATAGATGAAATATGTTTAGTGCTAGCGATTAATTTTACTTATAAATAAATAAAAAATTTTTGCAGACTTAGCAGTTTAATTTATCATAATATTCGTTAATACTAGCTAAAGCAATTATAAAAATTTGTAAATATAGAAGGAAAAAATCGAGCATTAATTTTTTCATCTAATTTTAAGTAATAAATCAAGAAATGCTTTTCGTTTACTGTAATCTGTAATCCTTTTTTGATACTGTAAGGTTTTTGTGATAGTCGGATATGCATATAATTTGTAGAACTGCGATATTTTTGTCATATTGTGATATTCTTTCACGTATACAATCTTATTTATTCACGAATTGCAATATATTCGTAGTACTTTGATATTTTTGCTTTATACTGTAAAAATTAATTTATCTTTTTTTCATGACTGATTTTAATCAATTGACTAATTAATTACCACATGATTAATTAAAGCCATGTTATCGCTTTTTACTATTTTAAATTATATTCGATTTAATTAATGCATGTAACATAAAAGAGCATATGCAATAAAGTTTATTTTAAGAATGTGACATTAATATATGCTGTTTTCAATCACTAATTATCTTTTTAAATGCAAGAAAACATATTTATTTAATTAGAAATGATTTAATTTGCATAATTAAAATAAACTTGCATTGTTTAGGAAGCAGTTTTTGAATTAAAAAAGAAACTCATTTTTAGTTGCTGTTAGTGTCAAAAAAATTGAATTATCTAGTGGTTGCTTTTGATTTTCGTCAAAAAAATATTCTACCGTATGTTTAATAAATACACAACTATTAAAGCGATAAATATTGCTATTTAAATTATATTAATTAAATTGTGATTTAAAAATCAGGTCAAGTTTTTTTTAATCATAGCATTATTATAAATAATAAATAAATTTAAATGATGCAATATTTAGTGATGTTGGATATTCTATCAGAAGATGTTATTTGGCGAGTTTTTAAATATCTCGACATAAAAAGTAGAGTAATACTTGCAGTGACTAATAAAGCTTTCTACAGGTTGTTTAATAAGGTGATAAGTTTTAATCAAATTAATTTAGGATACAAATTTGCAAGAATTTAAATAAATTTAAAAATTTGAAGCATTAAATTCAAATTTATGTAAACATTTATCGAAAAAAAGTACACAAATTATTTGAGTCTATTCTTAATGTGAATTACAATAGCATAAATTCTAGATTAATTTGCATGATTTTTATTCATAATAAAAATTAAAATTTTACTTTAGTATTTTTGATAAAATTATTTGTACATGTATTCAAAAATAAAGAACAGAATATTAATGAGCATAAATTTAGTGGGAAGATGTACTGTACTGCTCTATTCGTCTTGATGGCATTACTTTGGCTGGAGAAGATTTTATTTTAGAATTAGAGCGTACTCATTTGGTTGAGTAATTAGTTTACTTTTGTTTTTGTTTTTTAAAATATTACAAAAATAAATGTAAAAATACTAATTTTAGAATAAACGAAATTGATTAATTTATACAAAAATTGAGATATCATTTAGATTATACGCAAATATATATTAAAAAGCATTTTTTTTAATCTTTAATATGCAAATTTTTAAATGCATGAAAAAATTTTATTTCAAAAAATTAAACATAATATTTGCATATTATATAGCGAGCAACTATACTGGCGTTATTGAGACGTTGTCCACTCATTCGCAAACTTGCAATTCACGATGAACAAGCATTATACAATACCGCCGATATCACATTACGTATGTTAGTCAACGTTGATGAACTTCATATTCCATGCAACATCTTTTCAAAGTAAGCAATTAATTAGCAATTAATAACTTCGAAAAAAAATTTTCTAAAATAGTGTCTTATACTTTTTTTATGTTTAAGTACTGTTAGTACTAGCAATTAGTTTATAAATTCTTCTCAACTTTCTGATTGATGTATGATAATTTTTATTTGTATGAAACTAAATTTAATTCAAATGTGTGAGTACTGAAAAAATTTGAATATTTTTGATGAGTTTTAAATCTGAGCAAAGTTTAAATTGAATAAAATAAATATAAAACTGTTTGAATATTGAATTTAGTTAATCAATTAAGAGTTCAAATTGGATTACTTATATTTTTTTTCTCAAATTTAATTTGAATTGTTTAGAAGTTTATATGATCAGTTGATTACATCTTTATTTTCATTTCCAAAATTACATACGTTACATATTCAACAACGATATAGCGACGACAAATGCAATTCTAATATTTTGCATAAGCATCAAGTAGAAAAACTTGTCTCAACTGTCGTTAATAATATCAAATTACAGGTTTTTAAGTTATTTATTATTGCATATTTGATCAATTAATTTATTTTTAAATCGATCATAAATAGTAAGTTATTATTTATGATATTATTGATAGTTATTAATCTTACAGGGTGTCGTCGTCACAGGATCAGCTTTGACTTTCCTCTGTTGGAAATACCGGAAAACTTTAGAAACTCTCTGCTTACAGGGTGCTTTACTACCATCTTATGATGCTCCGGAATGCTTCCGTGCTATTAGTATGTCTTAATTTTATTATCTAATCTAATCCAATGTAAGTGACCTTTAGATCATGTTCTTTTATAGATTCTCTGAATCGATTGACATATTTAACTGTGGCTCCATCGCTCTATTCTATCAGTAGTATCAACAAAACTTTTTACACAAGTTACCCTAATCTGAAGGACTTGAAAATGTTGAAAGTTATAGCAGTTTATGTATCAAGACCTGATATATCACAATTAAAAATTCTTTTAAATCATATCCTTCCACCAACTGTACAACAATTATTACTTTATGACGAAAGTTATCGACTGTGTTATCAGACTGAGGAAGACCTGAAAAGGTCAAACTGTAAGGTCAGTTGACTTGGTTACAAGTAAAATTAGTAGTAATTCTTTGAATTCTTTTCTAATGTATATATGTGCATCAGTTTGAAGCAATCAGATAATTAAAAATAAACTCAAAAAGAAAACTGTATAAATAATATTTATTATATTTTTATGACTACTTCATGTATGACCATGATCATAGGAATACAGTTAATGGTCATACTTTACGTATGCTATTATTGTAATATTATGATCAATCTATATAACATTTGCTCGTTTAGATCACATTTTGCCGCGATGATGATATTATCATTGACAGTTACTGGATGAATGGTAAAAGTGAACTTCTAACACATACCTTGTGGAAGCCACCTTACAAACGAAATATTTACCTACCAAATACGGTTTATACTTTAAATTTAGCATAATTTCATACTTATTCGATTCAAATTTTTGCAATTTAATTTTCACTAATAATTAGCAAATCTTTTTTCATTCAGTCAATAAGAGAATACAATGGTATATAAATAAAAATGTTTTTGAAAAAAAGAATTTTTTTGAATTCAGTAAAATAAAATAATAATTCCGGAAGATAGATTAAATTTGTATAAGTAGAAAAAATAATTTTTCATAAATTCAAAAACCTTTTTAGTACCCTGAATGGTACTGTATTCTCAGTGAACTTATGGAAACTGCAGTATTGAGTGAATATTCATGCATTTCATCTATGGAAACAAGTACTGCTCCTGATAATTCTGAAAATAATGAAAATACTTGCATCGATCAGTCTTATCGTGCAAGTGAGTTGATGTTGATCAAAGTGAATAACAAAATTAATTAAAATTAGTCTAAAATTAAAACCAATTTAATTAGCTTCAGTTTTATTGTTTTGGATTAAAAGGAATGAATATAACGTGAACTTTTGTTCAAATCAACGTTGATAGCTATTCGAATACATTATATAATTTATAGTAGAAAAAAGACCAGACGATAAAATTTACAAACATGAAAAATGGCTAAAATATAAATGTATAAATTTATCAGATAAAAAAAATACAACAAAACTGTACTTTAATTCATTGAAGAAATTCACTTATTCCAGGTGACAACAATACTGATTCCTTACAGGATAAAATATCTTCAGATTCTTTCCGTACTGCATTGGAACAAAGGGAATCACAAAACGAAATGTTACCTATCTTCAAATTATTTACTAAATTATAAAAATATAATTTAAAAATTGTGCTCAACTTATTTTTTCAAATAATTTCTCATAGAAGAAAATTAAACAAGAAAATACGCATAATTTGGTTACTAATGACAAAAGTATTGTGATCTTTTTTTTATACTTTAATGTCCAAACATATGTACATGTAGATGTTACCATGATTTTAGGACAGCTCGAACAAATGTTAGCAGTTGAATTGAACGTACTATGCCGAATAGCATGAGTTAAGAAAATTAACAAAAATAATTCGGAAATACCACTTAAATTGGACTTATACCATAAAATTTATTGAAAATATATCCTATACTAACAGCAAATTCTGATATTTCTGACCAAATTATTCAAACTCCAACTACCTTAGTTTGTTTAATGTTTTTTTTCAAGTTTGCAGTCTTCCATTTTCTCATACACATATCTGCTATCTCAATGAATGCAACTGTGATAAAAATAATACATGAATCTCTAAAACATATGTCAAAGTCAACTGCTCACTTTACGGTACACACCGTCCTAGTCTTTAAGTGGATTTCACCCAACGACATTACACAAACCCGACAAAAAGGTGAAATGATTTTTGTAATTTAACCATCAGTGTTAATCAATCTAAATTTCAATATTCAGTCAACTATAAGAATTTATTTCGCACGAATAGTAAAGACGAAAACTATAATAGAATGATCGTTCAATGATACATAAAATCAGAAACAATTGAAATACATCAAAAACGATGTGTCCTAATTGACAGATTGCAATACAAGCATGAATTCCTCATGATTGCCTTAAGTGCAATGAAATTCCGCACTCATTAACAGAACACTAGATTAAAATCAGTCTCTAAACACCATAACATTTTTGATTATGATCAACTGTTTTGCACCACACGTTGCTGAAGGAAATTTATTACTTACTTAACATAACACTACATCAGCAAAATTCCAAATTAAAAAATGATTTCTACTTAGTGCAAAGCAACGATTACCAATCTAATTAAATTACGCCATTATTATCGCAAAGTAGTTAAAAAAAATTGTGCGAAACAGAACCATAGCGAAATACAAGAACCAATTATTTTTATACGAAACAACACAACCAAGAAGAACTTGCTCTTAACGATATGATTTCTGATAACGGGCCCTTGCACCTGGACCACCAAATTTTTTAGGTTCACGTCTTCTAGGATCAGCAACCAAAAGATTACGATCATATGCCACCAACTGTTCTTTAAGCTCCTTTTTACTTTGTTCATCAACAAATTTTTGGTAATATGCAACAATAGCTTTTGCTAATGCCTGACGGATTGCGTATATCTGTAACATCAATACTAGTACAAAATTAAAAGATAGGTTAGAACAAACGAAAAATGTAGCAAGAATTCAGAGCTTTACTAATATAACAATTTGATAACAGCGAAATTGCTAAAAAAAATTTGGTAGAAATAAATAAATACAAGTTCACTCAAAAATTTTGTTAGTCGACATTAAATTACCATGGATTTTGAAGAACTTTATGAATTCACTTTTGCAAGCTAGTTATTAAAAAAAAATAAATGCATAGATGATAACCTGTGCAACATGTCCACCGCCATTTACCCTTATTCTGATATCGACATCCTGGTAACGTTCTTTACCCAAAACTAACAGTGGTTCCTATAAAAATTAAAATATTTCTCTATGTACAATAGACGATAAGGAAAAATACGATTATACTCCACATAAACTACTAAAACTTATCAAAAGTTTTTAGAAAAAAATTGGCCAGCAATCTCTCTGCTGGACCTTATCTACAAAATGCATCAACTATATTAAGGTATGTGCAGAATTAACTAACTGATTTCTAACTGAGTTTTTTAACGCTGCGACTGACCTGAAGTTTAATGCGTAATATCTCGGGTTGTATATGCTCTAAAGGACGACCATTCACCTGAAATTTCCAATAAATTCAAAATACACAGATTACATGTATGCAAGTAAATATGAAAGTTAATTATATATATTATCAAAATGTGGTGGTTAGCTTTAATTTTGGCATTATTGGCTCTAGTGCAGGATCGCATTCCGGCACTTCGGCAATACTTGTTCCGCGCTCAGATTTGTCGTACTCATCGCACTCGCTTCATACAGAAATATATTCTGGTGAAAATAAATAAAAAATTCTGGTAGAAATAAATAAATACAAGCCCACTCTGTTATCTCCAAAGATATCTCAAAGATAGAAGACTGTTATCTCCAAAATAGAAATATGTTTGGATGTGAGAAAAATATGTATATATATTTACAACGTGAAAGATCATAACACGTATCTGGCAATTAATGTACCCTATCTAAAGACTAAGTACAACCTCGCAGAAAATCCTACCGTTGAAAACAGATTACCAGACCAGAAAGCGTTCTTGTATAGCGAAAGAGAAATGAGAATCCACCATGCAAAGCTATACAAGATGCGGACGAATAAAATCTCGATGCATCCACTTGGGACTCTGATTCAGAAACATTACCCCACAAGATGTGGCACGATACTGTTATCTCCAAGATAGAAATATGTTTGGATGTGAGAAAAATATGTGCCAACATTGTGGGGAACGTGTGAAGACGTTGACCATCTAGCAACGCAGTGCGAAAAAATGTTACATCATGATTATACCAAAAAGCAAAATGAGGTCCTACGATGCATCCACTAGGGACTCTGCAAGAAGTATGGTCTGAAAGCATTCCCGTGCTTGCGAAGCCATTCTGTTCAGGAGCTGTCGGGAATGAGAATGTTGAGATCAGAGTTGGTATGCAAGTGAGAAATGGAATCAGAATAAGAGCGGATCGACCAGATATCATGATACACGATAAAAAGCGACGTGAAGTAATCCTGATTGAGGTTGGCATCATTAGTTAGGTCAGGTTAACAGTAG